CTCATTGGAGTAAGTGCCATCAGACGAAGCAACCACACAAGTAAACAAATTTGTCAGGTAGCTGTCAGAGCACCAGGTGGCGACCGTACACCATGAGATATGGCTTCGGAACTATCCCAACGCGGCTGAAAAGTGCGACCGGTTTTATTTTTCCATCGCTTTCAGGGTCTGAGAGGCTTCCGTGCATATCCAGTTTCCCACCCTTGCTGTTGTGGTATGCCCGGGTACACAGCAAGGCACGCAACTTGGGGCACCTCAGCGGTGCGTGACCTGGGCGGCGCGGGAGCCGCTGGCGTCTGTCGCCTCTGTACTCGGGCCCACGCGGCGCGATACTCACCCCAGGCTGGCGTGGCGCTGGCGGGCTCTTGTATCGCCCCGGTCGGGACCATAGTAGGCTGTTATTGCCTCCGAGTGCGCGCCGCCGCCGCAGGGGCCCCGCCTGCGCTCCTATCACAACAGCGCGGATTAGCCCGGCGACCCGTCCGCGCCGTATTGGCCGCGAGCGGCGCTCCTGGCGCGGCCGGGTTCGGTTCGGCGGCGGCCCCGGTCCTGCCCGCCGCCGTTCTGCCTCTCCGGCCGGACCGACGGCGGCCGGCGACCCGCACCCGCTCACGGCACAGCGGCCCCGTGAACGTGATCAATGATGTAACCGGGTTAACCGAGCTAACCGGGGCGCGAGGCGTCCCCGGGGATGATGAGCCTCGGGCGGTGGCACAGCCGGCCCCATGCCTCGCGCCCGGAGCCCCCTCCCGCCGCCACTGCCTGCTGCGCCTGCCCGCCTCCGCCGATAATGATGGCCTGACAGCGTGTCTGATGATGCATTAACGGGCCGCCGCCGCCGTCCCGGTCTTCATCGGTGATCTCTGATCGTGTTTAGGGGTCCCGTACATGCGGCCGATGCTACGGATGTGCCCGGCGGAGCTGTCCGAGCGAGAAAACGTACCCATTTGCGCAGGTCAAATCACAGAATGTGCTGGCTGTTGTGGGCACCTTATCACAGTCACCGGCAAACATGTACTTGTACATGTACATGTAGTTGTGCACGTCAATGAAAAAAGACTGAACAAAATGCTCTGGGATGTAGTTTATATATATATATATATATATATATATATATATATATATATATGTATATATATATGTATATATATATATACACATATGTATGTATGTATGTATATATACATACATATATGCGTTGGAAACACATCCGCTGGAAGACATTTTTCCTTCCGACGACAGCACATTTCGAGATTTGAATGGAAACATCCTTGTCCGTCCTGTCGCATGATGCAGAAAGTTTGAAGGCGGCGTCCAACATATGAAAACTTCTTTTCATTATGGCTGCGAATTATGCGCATTCTTTACAAGAAGTTAAACGCCCAAATTTGCGCTAACACCCTTCATCGCCGCCGCAGTGCCGGCGACGCGCGAGGCCACTTCCCGGAGTCAACAACGCAACGTCTCGGAACAACGTCGCGCCTCGGAGTCGGCCCCGACAGCGCACACATATGTCTGACGCTCAGCTCCATGGTACGGCTGGTCCCCCGGCAGCGAAATGTAACCCGAAGACGTTTACCGCATGTGTCTGTTGCGGTCACCATAGTCTTGGAGCGACTCGTTCGGTGTCTTACCTTGGCCACTGGCTGAGAGATACCATGGAGGGAGGTCCCTTCATAATTTCTTTCTGTTCTCAAAAAGCAGTCACGAGCTATCGTTCACGTCTAGATATATGTATTTCGAAGCTGACTTAGCGTACAAAAAATAAAGAAATGCTAAGGAATCTTTGATGATCTGGGCGTGCACCTTCACACAATAGTGTTTCGCAATTATAAGTACATTGTCATGGCGTCCGCGTGCGCCATGAATGCGCCAAAACACACGCTGCGCACACAACACACGCCAGCCAGCGGACTGCACGCGATATGCAGATACACACGGCACTGCGCGGCCGTGACGTCACTTCGCCTCCGTCCGGGCGCGTTCGAGTGTGCGACCCTGGCCGTGGTCTGCCGGCTCCAGCAGCCGTCGACGTCGGTCGCTCTGGGCAGCCGGCGCCTCGGTTGAGCTCAGCGACGGGGCGGCACGTGTTCACGGACGGACGGCTGCGCGTGGGTGGGGATGCGCGGCCAGGACAGCGGCACAGCACACGCCGCGGGCGACTGCAGCGCGGTGGCGCTGGACAAGCTGCCGTGTGGGGCGGGCCGCGGCGAGACCGGCGCCCATCCCCCGGCGGTTAGAGACGGCCCGGCGCCGTCCCCGGCTTGCTGCACTCACGCATCCCCCGCGCCAGAGACACGCACGCCCAGGTAACGGAGGCGAGTGGACCGGACCGATCTCGTGTCCGCTGCCGGACTGCGACGAGCGCGCGCGCTGACTGAACGGAATCAGAACGCGCGGGCCGTGGATCTGGCCCCGGCGGCCGGAACAGGCTCTGCCGCTGACAGGCCTCACGTTCGCGTGTGTTCGACAGCTTTTCTTCCCCTGTCAGCTCCAACTAATCAAGCGGCAAACACGCCGCACCATGCCGCGCGAGTGCGGGCGTTGATACTCGAAGAAGCCGTAGGCATGCAGTGATCAATTGAAAACACGACGCCAGTGGCGATGTGACTCTGCGACGGTCTTCATTCCGGGGGTCTCTCCAGAATGCTGTGGCGGGACCTCTGGCCGGTGGGTGCTGCCGACACATGCTGGGGAGGCGGCGTGCGGTGACGCACCGATGTCCTCAGAGCACGGTGACGGGTACGTCACCTATCATTGTCCTGAAAACGTAATAAGGTAGTCTCAGGTGACAGAAAGTCACGCGTTTGAAACTACATTTGTTTGCAACTTAACAACGATCAACTACACTTGCAGCAAACACCATAAGCCCGCGCCCCGCCCTATCAACAAATCTTAATGTTCGTGGGTCTTTTCCGATCCACGGTCATATGAGATATATCGGAAACCGAGTGAAACATGTTGCTCGAGTCGACGGAGAAGCGGGACTGTTCTTTGTCTTCCAACTATATGCATAGCCACGACGCTATGGAAAATACCACAGTGTTTCGGCAAAAGTCAGCGAACGCTACAGGACAAACGCTGCAGGCATACGTTGCTAAAGCGCATGAAAGTGGA